TTATTTCATCTTATTCTCCCAACAGCCCTGAGAGGTAAGGTGCTATTACCATTCCCATTTTACAGTTGAGGGAACTGAGGCAGACAAAAGGTTAGGTGGTTTACTTGGGGTCACACAGCTAGCAAGTATCTGAGGCTGGATTTGAACCCAGGTTTTACAGACTGTTGGCAACACACTCTCTTGACAGGAAATCTGTCCTACCAGACCTAAAGCAGAGTAATTAAGAATACTTAGTCCCATCATCTTAACCATTCGCTCTCTCCCACAGCCTGTTTTTGTACCCTCCCCTGTAGGAGGATAGGGGTCTTTAGCAGTCCTGTAGAATTTGAGTCTTGGAAGACAGAGATCAGCATTCCCTGTAGAGCGCACATTCTGGAAGCCAGTTGGAACAGGCCTGGGGCAAGCATCTACCAAGAGCATCATGGTACTTCAGGTTATATCCTCAGCTATGGGGATGTACTACACAGACAGTACCCGTAACTTGCTCTTCTAGAAAATGCTTCAAGGTTTGCAAAACACTTTCTTCCCCACACTTCAGATGAGGAAGCCAAGGCTCAGAGAGGTTAAATTACTTTCTTACGATTACATTCATTATTCTATGCTGCCTCTGCAAATCATCTATACCTCATTAGCTGGTCCTCCTCATGGTCACTGGCATGCATGTTTGAGATGTCTGATCAAAATTAGGATTCAGCCTGTGGCTAGGGAGCAGAGCACAGCTCTGATTTTACAAATTTGTAAGTCTAATCATGAATATATGTAAGTATAATAAATTTTATAAGTATATTATATAAGAGCTATGAGGATATGGGGATCAGACACTTGTCTTACTGAACTAACTGGGCAGTAAGTCATTGGCAGACATTTCTAAATTTGAAGGGAACCAAAGCAATTACTGATACTAATTTGACCACCCAACAAGCCTTTATTAGGGGTTTTCTATGTGTCAGCCACTGTGTTAAGTAATGGAGATAGAAAGAAAAAGCCAAAAAAGCCTCCCCTCAAAGAACTTCTACTCTAAGAAGAGAAATAATATGTATATAAATGGGCACACATAAGATTCAGGGTTCGAGGTAACCTTAGGGGAGAAGGCTCTACTGGTTTGGATGGAAAGGTAGGAAGCCAGGGATTAGCATTTAGTAATAATTAACTGTCTCCTAGCTTCCCTGGCTTCCTTCAAGTCCCTGCTAAAATCCCAGCTTCTACAAGAAGCCTTTCCCAATCTCTCTTAATTCTAGTGCCCTCTCTCTGCTGTTTTTTTTTCCTATTTATCCCATATATAGCTTGTTCAAACCTAGTTGTTAATATATTGTCTTTCATTTTATCATAAGCTCCTCAAGGGCAGGAACTGTCTTTCAGCTTTCTTTGTAACCTCAGCAATGAGCACACGAACTGGTACACAGTAGGCACTTAATAAATGTTTATTGACTGACAAATTAAATGGAAAAGAAAAAAGCTTCGATTTCATTTTCTTTTTCTTTCCCCTTAATCAACCCCTTTTTATATTAAATGGCTTATCTGCCTGCCCAGCTGAGACAGAGAACTCCATCTGACAGCCAGATGACAGATTCTGACATTTTCTCAAATCTGCTCAGACTCCCTCCCTCCTCTTTCCTTGTTTCCTTCCTCCATCCTTCTCTTCTCCGCCCTCCTCCCCTCCCGTGGTGTCCCTGATTTAACTCAGGTGTTCGTAAGATTGCAGCCAAGGGACAAAGAGTATCTATGGGATTCCTGTGGTCAAATCCTCAGCTTGTCTAAGGGTTTTCCGACCTTCCTCAGAAAAGCTGGATTATGGTATTTTGACACCTAAACAGCCTTCCCACACGCAGATCTCCATATCCCATGCTCCAACACCCCTGGGTACTCATAGTGGCTTTTCTCATCAGACTATGTCTCCCACAGAGATTTCTAAGGTGCTCATAGTTGCTGGAAACAGGCAGAGAGTGAAGGGGGTTGGAGAAACAGCCGAAAACCCTCAGTTTGTGCCTCATGCATCACATTACTGCCCAGCCTTCTTTCTGCTAACCATGCCATATGAAATCTCTGATTTTCCACTAATTACAGCAATGGGGTGAATGCTAAGTAGGTTTGTCCTTAGCAGGTACGAAGTCTGCAGTGCTGAGAGAGGGGGGATGGGAAGAGCTGGTTAGCATCTGGGTTGAAAGATTTTTTCTAAGTGTTCTCTGTAATTATGTCTATTAATAAACACCAAGAAAACTTGCAGTAAGCATGTGCCTCAGCCTAGGACTGCTCTATGTTCCTTTGCTGGACACACTGACATCAGATGACCTTGTTCCAGCCCCATACCCCACCCCCTCACTGCCCCAGCCACAGAGCTGCCCATTTAAATCTCTTACACCACACCTCCCTCACTTTGCTGAGTCTGGGAAGACTCTGGGGAGATTCTGTCTGTTAACTAGAGCTTCCTTTGGGCCAGAGTGATGGCAAGAAGTCCTCAAATTTCTCCTCTTTCTTGTGTGGGTGACAGGGACTTGGGAAGGCAATGCTGGACTGGGCTTCATTATTCAAATATTTTGGAGATACCCAGTTTTCCAGAGCTAAGGCCCAGCATGCAGGCTGTGCCCTAAGCTTGGCATAACAATAATCCTTTACACTCTGGAATGATCTCACCCTCTGGCAAGATGCATTGCTTGGACCAGCACCAGGTGTTCACTGAGGAATTTAGCTCCCTCTAGTTCACAATCCCTGTTCCTTGTCTCTGACAGGTACTGTATCACAGAGCTCCGATTCTATACCCCATAAGCAAACATGACCCCCAAGACTTGAGACAATACTGTTCCCACAGGGCCCATGAGAACAGTAACTCAAGACCCAAACAATGATTATGCCCACCCCACTTGTGGCTTTTATGTATATAATACCTGCCTTTGGTCATCATGTTAAGCTGTCCTTATACTGTGGGCTTCTGTTTGCAAATATCATTTTCCTCACTCTGAAATTACTTAAACTTCTGTTTACATCCTGACTCTCCTGTCTCTAGCCTGCTCTATTTCAGCTCCAGCCATCCCCAGGTTAGAGGCTGGTTCTGGTCCAGTAGACAAATTAGGAGGCAGGAACTGGTTTTATCAAGAGCCTGGCGCTTAGGGAACCTTCTTCACACTGCAATTTCCTTTAACAACCAGCAAGAGGTAGCCAAGTGCAGCAGAGGATAGAGCAGTGGGCCTGGAGTCTGGAAGACCTAAGTTCAAATTTGACCTCAGACATTTACTGGCAGTGTGACCTGGTCTAATCATTATTTTGCTTCTATTTGCCTCAGTTTCTTCAACTGTAAGATGGGAATAATAACAGTACCTACCTCCCAAGACTATCACGAGGATCAAATTATGGTACATAGTAGGCTTTACATAAATGCTTATTTCCTCTCTCAGCGGTTGGCCTGGCCCACTCTAAGGAGAAGAAAGGCAGGATGAGGAGCTTCAATTTCAGGACACAAAGCTTAGCACCTGATGTGAGCCTGGACAGGGCTAGGGACAACATTAGGGCACTGGGGCTTCATAGCTAAAGCAAGCAGAATTGCTGACTATTCAACCTCAGAGGGACCTCAGAGGCCTTTGAGACTAAGTTGTATCTGAACAGGCTCATCCTTGTTGTGCCACAATGCTCTTCGCCCCCAGAGACAGAAAAAGACCAGTCTGTGGTGAATTGGTTCTCCAGAGGTTTCAGCAGGATGCCTTCCTAAGTGAATGTTGTGCACTGCTGTGGGGAACAGCTTTTTATTTGAATTTAATTAGGAATTGTATCCTTTTTAATCTTATCACAAGCAAAGTTGTTTTTATTATATTTTATGGTTCACAATTGCCTTATTACTTTTTAATGCCAAACCTGAATCACTGCATTGGCTGGAGGTAGGCCTGACCCACAGAACTGAGAATGATTACTTAACCTCTCAATGCACCAGACAACTCACTAAGAGGATCAATGGTGGACAAGTGGTTGATTTGCTTTAGTAAAGAAAGTTGCCTCCCTCGGAGTTTCCTTAACCAATGAAATCATAGGCCTGGGAAAAACAAACAAACCCTTTACTGTAGCCTAGCCTACATCTTTCCATCCTATTCATAAGGATATCATGTAATATTTAAGCCTGTTAATAATAATAATGAGTTAAATTCCATGGTAATATCCATGTATATTCTATCAATAGCATGACTCATTCTGGGCAAATCTGTGCTGCTTTTTAACGATCACTGCTTCCCTTTTAAATGTTCAGAAACCATCCTTTTAACAACATCTGCTAGAATTTTACCAGGAATTAAAATCCAGCCCATTGGCCGAGAGGTTGAAGAATCAGTCCAGTTCTTTGTCTTTATGTGTCTCTAACTCTGTCTCTGCCTCTGTCTCTCTTTCTGTCCTCTCCCCACCACCTCATTCCCTCCCTCTGTCCTGTCCCTCCAGACCTAAAGCATTTATCCTCTAAATCCACCTCGAGCCAGTCCTGATACCATCCAATTCCTTCCTGTCCCTCTCTTCCCCTACATGCTATTCACTGAATCAGTTGCTTCCCCAGTTAAGAAGGATGAGGTGCTTCTATTGACTGAGGACTTGAAAAGTCACTCTTATAGAATATTAGAATCTGGAGGTACCTGAAAAGCTCCTTAGATCAACCTTCTCATTTCTGGTGAGGAAATCAGTACCTGGAGATCAATTTAACCTCTTGTGATTGAAAGATCACATGGCCAGATGAAGACAAAGCCATGATAAGGACCCTGCTCAGTGTTTTTAACCAAACCCTCATGGGCAAAAAGCATCTATCCTCCTAAGAAGAGCAGCTGCCTATAGACCAGATGAAATGATATTTAGATCACAAACGAAATGGGTCCAATATCTTTTTTTTTTAACACAGCTCCATTCTTTGGGGAGAACTCCATCCTCTCTTTCCTTGTCCCCTGTCACACACACACACACACACACACACACACACACACACACACACACAGCAAGCTGAGGAGAATTGCAAAGGTGGGGGGGAAAGCAGCACTTACAATGATCATTTGACAGACATGCCCTCGGCAGAGTTCTGAGTATGAAGAGTAATGCATGTACACCACCCAGCTGCCTACAAAGATGCCCAGCCATGCCAGGAAGAGGTATTTCACCTTGATGCCAGGTAGACGATTCTGTAAGAAGAAAAAAAGGGCATTTTTAATAGACAAAACTATAGTCAATTCTTTATTATGTGGTTGTAGATACCTTATTTAGAATCAGAGCTAAGTTCTCCTCCCTCACAAACTCCCAGATAGCTACTACCCCTTCCCATCAGGGAAATAATCTATAATGTGCTAGACTTTTCCTATCAGAGAAATTTTTTTCTTTGTGGGGAGAGGAAGATTGGCTTGCCCTTGATGGAAATGAAAAAGAAGGACCTTTAGGATTGGATTGTCATTTGGAATCAGCTTCAGATCCTCTCTGCTACAGTAACTAGGGCAAACTGAGCTTGCTAGTTTTTTCTCTGTGTAAAGGTAGTGGGTATTCACTTACTAGACTCCCTCCTCCCATCCCAATACATGAAGCCTGAGGGAATTATATCATGACCCAACTGGAAGCTAATTCCAGTCTCCAAATGCAAATCACTGCATGTCATTGTGGGTCAGCCTTATCCCAGAAACTTTGTCCTAGACTGATGCCTGCCAAAGGGAGAATCTAATTACACAGAGGGCTTGTCAAATGGAAAAGCCTCAGACTTTCTTGGACTGAAAGACTTCAAACGCCTAAAAAAAAACCCACCTCTGTTCTCCCAGCAGCACCTGGCCAAAATATCACATTCTGATCATACCTGGGGCCTGGGCTTCCCCTCACAGGGCTAGGGAACATCAGCTCCTTGACCTACCACTGAGCGCTACCTGTTTTTCTGATAAACATAGAGCTTGGCTTCCCTGCCAATCACTGGCCTGATCTCTAAATCCTAAAGATGCATAAATGACAGGAGCAGATGGAAGAAAAAAGCAAGATGATGTCACCCAAAACATGATCCACCCCTGAATGCAAGGTTCCCTAAATCACATTTTGAGGAAGGCAGTATGACTTGATAGCCAGCATGGGGTGGCCTGAAATCTGGTTTCTACTTTCATTTCCCCTCATTAGACTCTACCTGTCAAAGGCAGAATGAGACAGTTGAGGGAAGGAGGTAAGACATCTGACTTCAAGCCCTATGTGACCTTGTACAAGTCCCTTAACCTTCTCTGTGGGGGGAGTTGAATCACTGACTCCTCCTCCACTCCTTTTTGGGGGAATTGAGTTATCCATGCCAGAGGTTGAAATTCAACATCTGTGGGGATGTAGGAGATTGTAGATACAGGGCGTGTGTGCCCAGGGGCCCTGAGGGAAAGGTGCTAGGTAAATCCCTAGCTGTATTATTTTCAGCTTCAGGGAGGATGTTAGCAGTCAAACCCACCCACCGCCTCAGCACAGGCAAACATACGTGTAGGTTACAGAGGCAGTGTGTGCCACCAACAGACAATGGCAAAAGGTGGCCTGTGCTGAGTACCTTTGTTTGAAGATTCTCCGAATGCCACTAGGATTCAATGCACAGCTTTAATTGTTGTCCACAGCCCCACCATCTCCATGAATACTAACTTCTGTTTCCCCATGATTCTGTCCTCTCAAAAAAACAGGAAAGCAAAAAATACAGAGGCTTAGGGGGTTAGTGATCCGTGTGTGTGTGTGTGTGTGTGTGTGTGTGTGTAAGCTACAATCCGATTTTCAATTAACTAAAAAAATTAGCTGACAGGGTGGAGGGGGGAGCTAAGTGCCCGCAGTTTCACAATGTCTAAGAATTTTAGATGCTGCTTATATTTATACTTTCTATCCAGTGGCATGCTGGTAAATGCTTAACAACTGGCTCTGAGGGGGAGGGGATTGTATAGCCAACATACGTTTAAACCTTATCTCCATTATTAACATTTTCTCTGTGGCTTTCTTAAATCTGAGCAATCGACCTACCAATAAATCAAGCCCTGATCTGTAGCATTTGTCTGTTTCCACAGAGTAAATGCTTGCACTGAAAATTTAACAATCAGCTTTGAAAAGCCTCTACAAGCTGCTTACAACACATCACTGCTTCTATCCTTTCTCACTATGTAAAGAATCGGATTTTCTGTCAAGAGTCAAGGTCTTTTGATTACATCAGAAGACAGAAATGTAGCAGTTTCCATTTCCCCAAAGTAGATATTTCCTCTTTGAGGACATTCCCACTAAGGGATACATACAGTTTATCCAGTATGTATCTTATTTGCATGTAGCTCTTTGCATGTTGTCTCCCCCATTAGACTATGAACTCCTTGAAAACAGGGACTGTTTCTGTCTTTCTTTGCATCCTCAGGATTTAGCAAAGTGCCTGACAGATAATAGGTACTTCATAAATGCTCAGTGACTTGACTTAACTTTTTTGAACTTCTACAGTATTTTAGATGAAAGGAGGAAAGAGCCCTTGACTAGGAAGAGAAGACATAGGTTTTGGTCCTGGCTCTACCGCTATCCTCCCATCGGACCTCAGAGAAGCCATTTTTCTTCTTTGAGCCTCAGTTTCCCTGACTATAAAATGAAGGGGTTAGATTCAATTAACTAACACTATAACTCATAGTTGGTTAGTGAACAAAATGCTCTGCCCATGAAGTCAAATAAATTATGGGGAAAATCTATGGGAAGCTGGGGGTGGGATGAGAGTCTTAAAAAGATATTATATGGAGGGAAAAAGGTTCCTTTTACTTCTGTTTTCAGTGGCTCTTACTGATGTCAGAATCTGGGAGAAATGGCCCACAATGCAAGACACATCTTAACAGACTAATAGCCTGGGTCAAAGAGAATCTGAATCTTTACAGATAAGCACAATGGCAAGCAGGGTTTGATTGACATCAAAGTGGCAGAGCTTTTAGAGGACTAGGACAGTTCTCAACTTTATGCTCCACCCCCTCTAAAACCAGCCTCTTATTGTGCATTCACAGACACTAGGTGAATGCCTATTAAACAAATGAATGCAGTTCGGGAGGTTTAAGGAAACTGACCAAGGAGAAAGGAGCTAAGCTAACCCTCCTTCTCCCATGATTATTGAGAACAGTGCCAGGGAGGAACAAGATATGAAGCAAGGAATGGAAAGGGGTGGCTAATGATCCAAAGGAGAGAAAAGCCAGCCATTTCATTAGCAAGCAGGCTTTCTTCCAAGAAAAGTGGCAAGAACCCCAGTGCTGCTGAGATTCACACCCATCCTAGGTCAGAGACTCACACAGGCTAGATCTGCACGCTTCCTCCTGGGTGGGCCAGAGAGAGGCCTGGCATTCAGGCCCTGGTGGTGGTCAGAGCCCCAAAGGAAATAAGGGGAATTTAGCATGCGTGGCTTGTAGCTTCTTCAAAGACACACGTGGGTGTTCCTGAGGGTTCCTGCTTGTACCTCTTGCCTCTGTTGTGGAGTGACTTAGTATTAGGTGAGTGTTCAGTTTGCAGCCAGCCATAAAGGAGCATTTGTAACTGGGTAAAGGGATGGGGGTGGGGGAGTGTGGCTGTTTTCTCATACCATCTAACTGTATTTCCTGGCAGCTGGTCTCTTCTCTATCTTTCGCCACAGCTCTACTCCACCTGTCAGGCTAAGCACAGACCTGTCTGCCTTCTCAGTTTTGAAATGCTAAGGCAGGACTTGAGCATGGGGAGGAGTGAAAGGGTAGGGGGCTGCCCAGTCTGATGCTCTTGTATTTTCCTTATCTGCTTGTTTTTCCAGGTAGACAAGTAGCTCTAGCTGACTCTCTTGTATCCCCAAGGCCTCTTCCTGACAGCTTGCCCTCAGTCTTTCATTATGCAGGGAAAGACTGAGTTAATTAGGCTTAGCCTAGGATAATCAGCCTGCCAAGCCTTTCCTCCTCCCCCAGCCCTACTGGCACTGAGGTGACACCAGCCTGGGAACACATTCCTGTTGCCTCAAACAGGAGGACCAGGGAAGCCAATGTCCAAAGTGGTAGAAAACTACAAGGTTTTGACTCCTCCAAAGTCCTTGCTTCATTGGTAGCCTGAGACTATGCAGATTCATATCCAGTATATTCAACTTTCCTCCCAGTGAACAAGATGAGCAGGCAGGTCCTCAGAGCAATGCAAACAGAACTCTGTTCTTCCTGCAGCCTCACCTACTGGGGTGAGACTGGAGGTGGAAATACCAAAGAGATAAAGAAGCACACCAACCCACGTGCCAAGAGAGCTCCTCTCCGTGCCATTCACGCTGCACGGTTGGCAACTCAGAGGCTGACAGAAATCAAAGGAATCAGAAATGGGCGATTGAAATTGCCTCACCGGCTCTCAGAGCTCGGAGGCTCTTCTACTCCTCATCTGCCTAAGTGAAGTGTACTGGTGCTTACCCAGTCCCGGGCACAGCATGAGGCCTTTAAATGCCCATCAACATCAGTGCCCTCTTCACCCTCTTTGACCTAGAGAAGTTTCATCTGCTCTTGAAACCTGGAGCTGGAGTGGGTTTTGGCTGCTGTGCTAAGTAGGTGCGAAGTGTTCCTGTATTTCTAGTCTTTTGACATGTTATTCCCTTCCATTTGCTCTATAGGGCAGCAGCTATGATGGTCTTGTTGGTTTTTGCATATACCAATTCATCTCTTCACTCAATGCCTTTTAGTTCATTGTCTGTGCCTCGACCTGGCTCTCCCTCCTCACAACCAATTCTTAGAATCCCTGGCTTTCTTCAAGACTCTTACACCACCCTATGCAGTAGGCTTTTCCAGGTCCCCCCAGCTGCCTGCCTCTCTAAGTGAACTTCCACAAACTCCTTATGTACCTTGTGTTGCTGTTGCTGTTCAGTCATTCCAGATGTGTCTGACTCTTGGTGACACCATTCTTGGCAAAGATACTGACGTGATTTGTCATTTCCTTCTCTAGCTTGTTTTACAGATGAGGATACTGAGGCAAACTGGGTTCAGTGAATTGCCCAGGGTAACATAGCTATTAGGTGACTGAGGCTGAATGTGAACTCAGGTCTTTTTGACTCCAAGCTGGGCCCTCTATCCATCGTTCAACCTAGCTGGTCACATACCTTCGTAGACCAGGTTATGTGCATGCTGCCTTCCCCATTAGAATATGAGCTCCTTGAGAGCAGGGGCTGTTTTTCTACTTTTTCTTCATATCTCCAGTGCTTAGCACAGTGCCTGACACATAGTGGGTGCTTAATAAATGCTTGTTGATTTATGAACCCAGCTTAGATGTACACATGTCATTTTTTCAATGGAAAATCTTCAAAGATACAGGGGTGCAGAATGAGGCATTCATTTTTCACATGACCAATATGAAATCTTGTTTTGCTTGTCTGAATATTTGTTACAAATCTTTGATTTTTCTTTTCTTTCAGTTAGGAGGTGGTAGGAGAGATAGGGAAGGTATGGATAGGGTACCCCCTCCAAAAATAAAGTAGAAAGAAAACAGAAGGAAAGTCATAAAGAATCACTGGCAAAGCAGGATGGCTTTGGAAGTTACATATTGAATTTATTATATACTTGAAAGAAAGGTAATCTCTATCTAATAGAGATTTACAATTTCATGTATAAGCCTCTCCTTCTGCTTCTATACTATGGTGTATATTAGAATGCACACTTTATTTGATGTTAGCTGTTCAGAATAAAAAACAATAAATTTTTTTAAAAGCCTTCACCCATATCTACCCTCTCCCCAGCACATGGGGGTCTGGAGCACAAAAGAGGGTCCCCTGATCCCACTATACCTCTGCCCTCTTCTCTTCCCTAAAAGGAGAAGCAGAGGAAATGTGTATGCCAGGAAGGTTTGCTGGTCAGAATCATTCCTGCATGGGGTACTTCCCCATGGTCTTGCCCCTAAAGGGTTAATGCTGTTCAAATTCTCTCTCCCTTCAACCCTTCCCCCACCTAGTAAGAAGGGAAGCAATATGATATCAGTCAGACTTGTGAAATTATACAAAACATATTAGATTGATCTTTATCATTGCAACTGACCTATGGCCAATGTCTCTCCCACAACCCTGCCTAGCTGGGTTGATTTCTGGCTATTTGGTTGTCACAAGGATTCAAACAATAAAAAATCAGAAAGCCTTAACTTCTTTTTGTGGGAAAGCAGTAAATTTCAGAGGATGTTTGTCTTATTTCTTGTGTATTCTGCCTATTTAAAGCACCAGGTCCCTGCAACACACAATTCACCTCTCTGTCAAACTTCTGGTAAATGGGACATATCTCCTCAATTTCTGTGCTTTACATACCTCATAATTAATCATTTCCTTTCTCTTCTTCCTCACTCATCAAGGTAGACTTGAACTCAGCCTTTAGGAACAAAAGTGCCCAAATGACAGCAGTTATTTTTCTGTTCCCTCCTGCTTCGCTTCAGAGAGTCTGTTCTTTCAATGCCACTCACAAGCTAAGCCAGAGGGAAAGGAAGAATCAAAGCTTCCAATTGTACTTGCTTGTACTAAGGGTCCATGCTCCTGCCCGGATGAAATGTAACATAGGTTCCCTTTTTAAAACAAGGAAGAAGGGAAGGCAGAAGAGCAAGTATGAGAGAGGCAGGGGGCATCTCTTGCAAACCTAGAGAACTCTAGGCTGCCAATGAATAGTTGTGCCCTTTACGCAGCCAGGGAAAGGTATCTGACCTGGCAAAGGGCAACATTTCCATCTTGGCCTGAGGCATCCTTTCCATCAGCTAGCTATTCGTATCCAGAATCTACCTTCTAGGTGAGGGACAGCAGAACTAGTCTGTGTGATGGCTTGCCCTCCTCCTTGGCCTGAGGAAGAATCATGGCTGGGGTGGGGCTGGACAAACGGCAAGGCTACACAGCTTGGAAGAAGGCAGGGGGTATGAAGATTTTGCCATGGATGGAGAGTGGAGCAGAAAGGAGTATGGAATGTACCTTCCTTATTTCCCCTTCCTGAAAGGAATGAGAACAAACAACTTTGGCCATACCCAATCTCCCGAGAGATACCAACTTGGGGGAGGGGGTGGGCGGGTTGGGAAGGTGGAGAACTAAGGATATCCTATGGTTGATTGATGACTTTCTCCTTTGCACGGCATACACGCCATAGAATGGCCCCAAGAAATAAAATGAAAGTAGCCCATCTGACGGTCCCTTCCCAGCTGTAACGACCCTTCCCCAGCTGTAACGACCCTTCCCCCTATGCCCAGATCCGACCCCCCGACTTGGGAACCGGCCAACTACCCTTCCCCCCCTCCCAAACTTCTGGCCACCGGCGTCCCCCTCTTGCCCCCTCTTGTCCCCTCTTGCCTGGCCTTACCTGCAAGCCCTTGGTCAGTGGGCAGAAGAGAACCAGGTGCACCAGACGCCGCAACCTCCTCATCCTGGCAGGGACTGGGGCGCAATGCCCGACGACGGAGGCAAGGAAGAGGCAACAAGAAGGCACAGAGAACCCCGGGAGCTGCCCACAGCTGGCCTGGGAGGCTCCGCTCGGCCCTAGGACTTGGATACGGGAGAGGGGCTCGGTGCACTTCGCCTCCTTTCTTTTGGCTGGACTGCTACCTTTCTGGGTTCCCCTCGCTCTAGAGAGCCCCCCTAGGGGCGGGTGCCTTCAGCCCCGGCTGGAGCTGACAGCCCCCAAACTCCGGCGCCCCCGCTCCCTCTCCATCCCGGCCGCCAGCCGGGGCCGCAGCGGGCACAGAGCACAAGCTGGCCGAGGCAAGAGCCCGAGCCGCCCCGCAGCCCGGAGCGACGTCCCCCGCTCCCCCACGGCTGCTGCAGTGCCGCTCGCCAGTCACCGGCTCAACCACGCCGGCCCCCTCCCCGCCTCCGCATCCGAGCCGTTCAGCCTGCCCGCTGGCCTCTAGAGCGGGCGCACGCCGCCGGCTCGGGCCGCGAGAAGCGGGGAGAGGCAGGCTGCTGCTGTTGCTACTGCAGGGGGATGGATGCTCCGACTCCCCGGAGCTTTCCAGCCGCCTGAGCCGGGCGCAGCGCTCCTGTTAAAGGGGAAGGCGTTTGGCCGCCAGGACTTTTTGACTGCCGACCGAAAGGGGATAGTGGGGTTGGGGCCAGGGGAGTTGTCTGGAGGGAGCGGGATGGGGCAGGGATTTACCTATCTGCTTTTAAACCAAGCTTCACACTCCCTTGGTTGCCTAGGCTGCAGAGGCCTCCTCCTCCTATCCCCACGAGTTTTGATTTTGGGGGTTGTCAACGTGAAAGATCAAATAGCCCTGACCTTTTCACAGGACACTTATGACATGTCAAAGGCATATGGTGTAAGCCTCCTTCCTTCCCAGTTTAAGGGTAGGTTTAAGGAAGTAGGGAAATGTCAAGCATTAGCATTGGATCCTCGCCCCGCCTCTCCCCTCCTCCCTACCCCCCCATCATATCTAGTGGCTTTCCCCCAATCCCCTCTTCTGAGCAGCTTCTACCACCAGTGTGTTGTGAATGGATACTATCAAGCAAGAGAATTACATAAATATGAGCAATTAGTAATGACATTAGTAGCTCATTGCATGACACAAAGGAAAGAGCCCCGCGTTTGGTGTCCAAGGACCGGCGTTCCATTTAGGTTCTTACGCTACCTACTCCAGATCCTTCCTGACAAGTGTGTCTCTTCTAGCCTGGGTAAAAGGAAAACAAATAATGATTTACCTCTGTATTTATTTTTACAAAGTGCTCGCTCCCTGGCAGATTAGCTCGTTTGATCTTCACTACAATCCCACGGTTAGATAATGCAAGTATTATTAGCCCCCTTTTGCAGATAGGAAAACAAAAGACTCCAAAAGTTTAACTGATTTGCTCTTTTCGTTATTAAGAAAGCAGAGCCTGAAATCTTTGCACTGTATCACAAGGTTTCTGCAGGGATGAAGAAGCAAGTGGGAGATACAGGGGAATCCCAAAGGCAGATTAACAGTTTGGGGCCAAGAGAAGGAGATCAAAAAAGCTTCTCTGGAAAACCCCATTCCACCCCTCCTCTCTAGGGGCCTCCCTAAACAGGAGGATTTTTTCTAACTCGGTAATTGACCAAGCAGGCTGCCCAGAAACGGCAAACCACTCCAGCATCTTTGCCAAGAAAACCCCACTGGGGTCATGAAGAGTCAGACACAATAGGAAGGACTAAACAACAACAACGAAGGTGCTGGACACCACTGGCACATTTCTGTTCCTCCCTCCATGCCTTATGCCTGCTGTTCAAATCTTAATGGATGTGACTCTGTCCTTGGGCTAAGCTGTAAAAGAGAGGCTGCATCATAGGCCGCAGGCTACGGGGCTGGATTCTGTCTCACTTCTCCATCTTTCCCTGACCCTGCCATCCTCAGTGCTTTCCAGTTTCTCTGCCTTTCTGGAGGGCATCTCAATTTCTTCCTGGTCTACTTGACAGGCCAGCAAGGGCTTGTGTCCTCTAGAGACCTGGATTCCATGATAATGCTGCAGGTGAAAGGCAGGCTTGCTCCAATCTTATCCATCACTTTGGTTTTAGCTTGTATCCAAGAAAGAGATTGCTATTCCTAACTCATTACCATTAGTTGTGGATGACACCCTCTCCCAATTCCCTTTGGCCTATTTTTTAAAAAATCAAATGGTCAGAAAAATTTTAAAGATACACACCCACAGTCCATATTTATTGGGGGGGGGAGCAGAGAGATGTTGAGAGTGTTAATAGGATCATATCATATCGATTATTATGAAAATCATAATTCCATAAGAAGAGGAAAAAGGAGAGCAGGGTAGAGGTAGAAGAAAAAGTTTAAATAAAGACAGGCTGCTTCCAGGCTTTGGGAAACCCCCTTGTAACAAGGAAGTTCTATGGGTTCTCTTTTGTTTTCAAAAGACCTCTTAGAGATATGTGCTCTGACTAATATAACATTCTCTGCTTCAACAGTCCAGTTTTCCCAAGGGTTAAGACCCATTCCCATTGTAATCAAGTGCAGCAAAGCCTTTACATTAAGAGTCCCATTTGGTTCTGGAGCAGCTTTTGATTTCTTAGGTCAAGGAATTCCTCAGGCGAAGAATTTGGGCATTTCCTTTCTTCACCAACCCATTCTTCTATGTAGTCTATTTTCTGCTGGCAACGAGCTGTTTGATTCAGTAAAGGTGACACCACATAGCTGGAGTGCATGATTGGGCCCTTCCAGGTCTAGAAGCAGTGGACTAGCCTGATGTGCGTGCTGGTGTCTATAACATGAAAAAAGCTTGTGGTATTTTTCTGTTCTCCATGGTAAGGACATACATAGTATTCCCTATCATTCCCTAGCATGAAAATATCATAGTATATAGCATGGAGGTGCCTGGTACATAGTAGGCACTTAATAAATGCTTATTATTGAGTCACTGAATAACAGAGGTTCAAATTCTGGCTCTGCTTAGGGATAGAGGGCTGACCTGGAGCCAGGGAGATTCATCTTTCTGAGTTTAAATCTGGCCTTAGACACTTACTAACTGTATGACCCTGGGCAAGTCACTTAACCCTGTTTGTCTCAGTTTCCTCATCTGTAAAATGATCTGGAGAAAAAAATGACAAACTACTCCAGTAACTTTGCCAAAAAAAACCCAAAAAAACCCAGAACTAGATGGGGTCATGAAGAGTAGGACATAATTGAATGACAAGTCTGCGTCTTACTTAGCTGTGTGGTCTAGAGTCAATTACTTAAGCTCTCTAAGATTTGTCATCCTCTTTCGTAGAAGTAAAGAGATATGGAGGAAGGAAGGAACAGATGATCTTTAAGGCCTCTTCCAGCTTTGAATCCTATGACTACTGTGGAAACATATTTAAAACCTCCTTTTTAGTTTCTTTAGAAATATTAAGAAATACTATTTTCCTTTAAAGCCTTTTCCATCCTTAAAAAGGTGATTGATAGATTCAAGATATGAAAGGCTATTTTTTTTCAGGCAACTGGGGTTAAGTGACTTGCCCAGGGTCACACAGCTAGTAAGTGTCAAGTGTTTGGTCTGAGGTCAGATTTGAACTCAGGTCATCCTGACTTGAAGGCCTGTGCTCTATCCACTTCAATACCTAGCTGCCCCCAAGGCTTTTCTTAGGGACATAGATTAAGAGTAATAACCAAATTCAATTCATGTGGTGTTCAACTGAGACCTTTCCTACCCATCTGAAGGACTAGTGCTAGAACCCATCCTTCTACATTGAGAAAGAATTAATAGAGAAAAAAGGGAGAAGGTCCCTCCAGGAATGTATTGTCTTTCAGTTTCAGTTGTGTCTGACTCTTTGTGACCCCATTTGGGGTTTTCTTGGCAAAGATACTGGCGTTGTTTACCATTTCCTTCTCTAGCTCATTTCACAGATGAGGAAACTGAGGCAAACAGGGTTAAGTGACTTGCCCAGGATCATATAACAACTAGTAAGTGTCTGAGACCAGATTTGAACCCAGAAAGATGAGACTTCCTGACTCCATGCCTGGCACTCTATCCACTGTGCCACCTAGCAGCAGCAGGAATATAGGGAAGTAGGAACAGGATTGTGACTTGGTTTCTCAATTCTGGAATGTTAACTCAGACTGTATTTTAAAATATCTGATCCTTATTCAAGATTCCTATTATTACCTGAAATCTTCTTGGGGCAGACAGTCATATAAGTGGTATAGAAGGATTATGCAAGTTTGGACATCCCTTTCTCCAAACTAAAAATGGCTTGGATATAGATTCACATGAAATAAAACTGACAGACCTGAGCTTAAATCACAGAGTACATTATTAATATTAATATTTTTTCTTTGACACAATCAATAGCAAACTACTGATGTGGAGCACTTAGGTAGAGACTGACAATTTTTTTTTCCAATCAGCACAATGACAAGAAAAATGAAGCAGGATCTGAAAGGGTTTCTGGACTTTTTGATGGTGGTAATATGTTTCCTTACTCTTTAGAGGAGCATTCTGTTTGGTTCAGGAAACTGCTTATCTTGAGCCTGGGTTCCTGGCTTAGTGGCAGGGCCCAATGAGTTGGCTCTACTCTGAGGATCATGCTGATAAGTTTCCTTCAAGTCCAGAGCCAAAACTTTTAAAGTTCAGGAGATGTGAGACCCTTTGTCTTTTCTCCCAGCTGAAATCACCCACCGATTTAATTGGGTAGAAATGGTGAGAAAAGATGAAGAAGGGGTAGAAGGGAAGATAAGCACCTTTTCTGTGGGAAGTGCCTGACTTTTCTGTTACTTGAATACTTGTCCTCCCCACCTCCACCCCACCCCCACCTTAGATCATAAACTCTTTGAGAGTAGGGTCTGCATGGATTCCATCTTTGTGTCTCCCCTGTGCCTTCCTCTCTAGTATGTGCTTACTAATTGTTCATTAAACTGAATTCTAAAGACTACATTTTTTCTTTTGTGGTGGAAATTGAATTAACCTCTAGTTAAAGCCAAAAGTTACAACTAAAAACTAACCTTGTTTCCGTTCTCCTTTTCTCTCTACATCATATCTAGACTTTCCCTTCTTTCTCCAAAGAGTCTTCCTTCTGCTGTCTGTCTGCTCTCTGGTTTGTCACTTAGGAGGAGGGAGGGAGGGAAAGGGGGTCACCAAGGCAAGCCACTCAGCCTGTTACTAAGCAATATTATTGAAAACCTGTGAATTGCTAAGATCATTATTTTCACACTCCTCTGAATTCTTGCTGGCTGGAGACCCTTCTGCTCCACAGTATGCGTTGCATGGCTGCATTTAGCTTGTAATTAGCAAGGGAGATACCCTTCCCTGACTAGCCTGAAGCAAAAGATCTTTTAATATGCCAGGGGCTAGCCCATTTCACCCAAGGAGAAGCTGAGAATCCTCATCTCACCAAAGGAGAACCTAAGAATCCCCCAAAGAATTTTCTACAGCAGTTCTAATGAACTCATACATCCCAGGGAAATAAGTCCATACATACATTTGCATAACTAACCCTAGACTGATGCCTCTCCTCTGGAGAGCTCAAGGACCTTTGCATTTAGTTCATTTAGCTATGAAGTCTAAGTGGAGGTGGTAATATGGTCCCATTTTCAGCTGGGGCCAGTAAGCTAGAGTAACATCGTCCAGGAGACAAAAGAACCCAAGTTTCTTTTCCTTCTATGTTACACTAGATTATAAAAGAGGAACAGGACCTTTGTTTTCATTGGTATAGATATATATTCCTCCTTAATGAGGTAATGGCACCTTCTCTGCAATTTATATTCTGGGCCTAGTTTCCTAGAACACTTGGAAGTTAAATGATTTGCCCGCACAACCAGCATGTGTCAAAGGC